AGAAACATCATTCTTTCAGACCTTGTAGCCCAAGGTTGAAAATTAGTATTCTTTTTGTTGGCATGGCAGTACAGTCAAAGTCTAAGCATTGCTGGAGCTGAGTGCCATTGTTTTCTGATTTTTTCCTTCATCTTCTTTGCTTACTTGTATGCGGTTCATTATGGCTGGTTTTCACACACAAGCTCCCAACTTTGACTGGAATGAGGGGCACAGGTCCTAGTAGAGCAGAGATCTCTAACAGGTAAAACATTACACAGTTTCACATAGCTAAATAATCCTTACATGTTGCAGCTAGTAAAGTCTTTTTGCCAAGAACTGAGAAAGGGTTCAGTGACCTTTGGGACTAGAAAAGGCAAGGCTTTCAAAGAATCAGGATGCCAGGTGTTGACTGTGGCTGAAATTGCACTCTTTGGTCCTAGCCCTCCCTCTAGAAACTGTGGCCTAAAATGCATCCAGTCCTTTTTGTGACTCGGTAGGTGTTGCTCCTAATCTTCTGTAAAAGTTCATGTTGCTGACTAATAAGGTGTTGTTTGCTTGGTGTTTGTTTTCTAAGAGGCAGGATTCATTTTTCTTATATGTACCCTGGGAACTTTTTATCAACTGGTATTTTCTGTCTCTGAACAGGTGGGTGAAGGGATAGGGATAGATGCTAGACTTCTCTAAATAGACATTGTTTTGTACATTTGTCTTTGGAATGATGTAAGTGGTTTACATAATTATATGACAAAATTAAATCAACATAAAAGAGAATTTCTAAAAAGCAAAAGCAAGATGAAACAATAGAACCTAATTAGGTATTGATTTGGTAGCATAATTACAGGAAAAGAAATTATTTTAAGTGCCTTTAAAACATAGAATTTAGCTATACATGCTGAACAAGATGTACTCTAAGGACATAAAGAATTAAAAAATAACTTTTTTTCAGTAATCCCATTGTTAATGATAACGTTAGTATTATGGACTCTAAATATAATATCCCGTTCAAAGGAACCAAGCCTCCGTGAGAAATGACCAGTTCCAGGTCTAAGGTAGGAGACGTATGAGATGAGCCTGGAACATCTTATCCTGGGAAGCTGGGGAAGACTAGTGGTGTATTAGTTTGCTCGGGCTGCCACAAAAATACCATAGACTGGGTGGCTTAACCAACAGAAATTTATTTTCTCACAGTTTAGAAGCTGGAAGTCCAAGATCAAGGTGCTGGCTGGGTTGCTTTCTCCTGATAACTCTCTCCTTGGCTTGCAGATGGCCACCTTCTTACCATGTCCTCGTATGGTCTTTCCTCTGTGCGATGTATCTCTGGTGTCTCTCTCTCTCCGTATATGGGCGCCAGTCATGTTGGATTAGAGCTTCACCCTTATGGCCTCATTTAACCTTAATTATCTCCTTAAAGGTCCTGTCTCCAAATACAGTCACATTGAGAGTTAGGGATTCAACATATGAATTTTAGGGGGACAGAATTCAGTCCATACAAGTGGTTTCACGTCAAACAAACCACAAAGCACTTTGAAGAGGCTCTAACTAGCTAAAATAAGGACAATTTGAGCATTGACAAGAATAATAACAGCAGTGGATTTAAATCTATGAGTTAAGAATGGTCTTTAAAAAAACTTACTTCGCTATCTGAAAACTAGTAAAGAAAGAGAAGCAGGCATTTTTCTTGCCTTCCCTATGCAAACACCAAGTGACGTGGCTGAGTAACGTGGCTTAACTGAGTAATTATATAGTTGATGAGTGGAAGTTTTTCTTTTAGTATGTATGTCCATTAATAAATTAAGAAAGTGATAAAGTAGAATATTGCCATCTTATATACTATACTCCTAATAAAATAGTGACTAGATCTAGGCAGTGGTCATCACTGGCTACTAAATCACGAAAAGAGTGACAGCCATGCTGTTGAGCATGTGGCATCTGCCTATCACCAGGAGTAGAAATCCAGACACTGCTGCCCGCTGCATCTTGGTATCCGAGTCACCAAGGAAAACACAGTGTAGTCAAGCACTGTCTGGAACAACACTTTACTCAGAAAAGAGAGCAAGATCAGTTTCAGTAGTGGGCATTGGTCTGCCATGGCCAGTGGTCACTGTCTGCAGCTGCTGCGGGGCCACTGGCCTCACACATCCGTCCTCTGCCACAGAATGAAGGACTTCATCCTCTTCCACAGAGGACAGATGTAGTAATGGGGTTGGCCAGGTGCCATATCACACACACGCTTAAACAGAACAAAGGAGTGCATATTGAGTCTGAAACAGGGGAAGAGATTCCCACACAAGGTGTTAAGTCCGCCATAGGCTGGGAGGATTCTTTACCTCTTGGTAAAAAAGTGTTCCAGGCCCAAGGCTGAGATGGGGTTGAAAGAGAGTGTATTAGGTACAAGACTGCCTCTCCCAACGCATACTTCATCATCTCCTGTAGGAAGTACACGTATGCGCCCCCAAATTGAACTTGAATCAGATCAAACCTCTAGATCTAATAAGCAGTTTACAGGAAATATACCGGACAGAGGAACATGTTAAGTGACATGCAATCAGCAAATCCAAAATGTGGGAAACTGTAGGAAGAACAACCCAGTTTGTTCAACAAATAAATTGCAAAGTTGGGTGTGGGGGAAGGAGTAGTTTATAGTTTTAAAAAGAGACTTAAGAGACATAGCAACCAAATGCAGTGCATGCACCTTGTTTGGATCCTGATTTGAACAAAACAACCGTAAAAAGAGACATTTGGGGAAATGCAACTACAATCTGTTTATTAGTTTCCTGCTGCTGTATAATAACTTACTCTAAAACTTAGCGTCTTAAAACAATAAACATTTATTATCTTATAGTTTCTTTGGGTCAGGAATCTAGGAGTGGCTTAACTGAGTCGTCAGACTTAGGGACTCACAAGGCTGCATTCATCTCAAGTCTTCATGAGAAGGATCCACTTCCTACGTGGTACTTGTAAGATTTAGTTCCTCTTTGGCTGTTGAATTGAGGCCTTGATTCCTCTCTGTTGACTGGAGGTCTCCGTTAGTTTCTTGCTACATACGCTTCTCCACAGGGCGTTTCACAACATGGCAAGCTGGCTTCTGTGAGAGGGAAGAAGCGGGAGAATAAGAGAGGGAGAGCAAGATGGAAGCCAGTGTCTTTTTGTGACCTAGTCTCAGAAGTAACAACATCCCAACATATGTGTTGTATTCTGTTCTTAAGAAGAGTCACTGGATCTAGTCGATACTCAAGGGAGGGGTTTATACAAGGGCATAAATACCAGGAGCCATTTTAAAGGCTACTTAGTACAGACTGTAAATTTAATAATATGAAGAGATTATTGGCTTTTTTAGGTATGATAATTATGGTTATTTTTTAAAGGTGTGACTGTTATGGTTATCTTTGAAGAGTCCTTATCTTTTAGAGTTGCATACTGAAATATTTCCACATGAAATGGAATAAGATGTCCAGGATTTACTTCAAAATAATCCAGTGGTGGACTAGCAGAGGATAGAGAGGATGGCAGAGGGATTATAGAGAAAACAAGATTGGCTGTGTAGTGGTAATTGTTGAACCTAGATGATGAGTATGCTGTTGTCTCTTTTTGTGTTGCTGTTTGTAATTTTCCATAAAAAAGTAAAAAGCAAAATGAACAAGTAAGTAAATAAACAAAAAAAACCCCCTTAGTACCAAATCATATATTCATGTCTTAGTACACCATTACATTCTTGGATTCTGGAAAAGGTTTTTAAAATTTTATTTTTTATTGTGGTAAAATACACATAACGTAATATTGACCATTTTAACCATTTTTGAGCGTCCAGTTCAGGGCATTAAGTACATTCACATGTTGTGCAACCATCCCCATTATCCATCTCCAGAACGTTTTCATCTTCCCAAACTGATACACTGTTCCCATTAAACAATAACTCCCCATTCCTCCCTGCCCTCAGCCCCTGGCAACCACCCTTCTACTTACTGTCTCTATGAGTCTGACTACTCTGGGTACCTCATGTAAGTGGAATCATGCAATATTTCTCCTTCGATGTCTGGCTTATTTCACTTAGTATATTATCTTTAAGGTTTATCCATGTTGTACCACGTATCAGTATTTCCTTCCTTTTTAAGGCTGAATAATATTCCATTGTGTTTATGTACCACATTTTGTTTATCCACTCATCTGTTGATGGTCACATGAGTTGCTTCTACCTTTTGGCTATTGTGAATAATGCTTCTCTGAACTTGAGTGTACAAATATCTGTTGAAGTCCCTGCTTTCAGTTTTTTGTGTACATACCCAGAAATGGAATTACAGGATCAAATGGTAGTTCTATGTCTAATTTTTTGAGGAACCACCATAATGTCTTCCACAGTGGCTGTACCATTTTACATTCCCATCAGCAATGCACAAGAGTTGTAGTTCCTCTATATCCTTGCTAACTCTTGTTTTGTGTTTTGTTTTTGCTTTTGATCATAACCATCCTAATGGATGTGAAATGGTATCTCATTATGGTTTTGATTGGCGTTTTCCTAATGTTTAGTAGTGTTGAGTATCTTTTCATGTGCTTATTGGCCATTTGTATATCCTCTTTGGAGAAATGTCTGTTCAAGTCCTTTGCCCTTTTTGAATTCTGTAAATATTTTTTAAACAGAAAAGATAAAAGTTTGCCCAGTAGCATACTCACCATGGTGTATCATTATTATTCTTAGTTTTGTGTCTCTCCCTAGATTTGAAGCTTCTTGATGGCAAGGACTGTGTGTCTTCTGTCTTACCTCAGTGCTGCCTAGAACGTAGTGGGAAGTGAATCCAAAAATTAAAGAAATTCTGTCATTGTGTATTCTGAAAACATACATTCAGACTTAACTCTGGAATTTTAATCTCAAATTCTCTGTGGTATAGAGAAATGTGAAGGAAAAAACCCACCAGCACTGGTCCTTGAAATCTTCTTCTCCTTTCATGTCTGTTCAGAAACAATATTGATATTTGTCCCTTACTCCCAAATATTAAAAATAGCAGAATATTTGTAAAAATGAACATGACCATATGAGTAAGTCTTTATTTTTCATCTTGGATAAATTTTTAATTAAAAGATACATTTCTGAAAAAATACTTTGACATAGAAATATTAGTAGTGGTGGAACTAAAAATTTTAGCAAGTTTAGGTATAATAAATGACAGTTAAATTGTTAGTCTTTGTTTAGGAAACATGATAATAATCTGTACTTTCTTTTTTGATATTTGAAAGGTTGCTCTTTGATCAAGATACATCTCTTAGATCTGAATTCAGTCTCCATCCTGGTATAAGTGGATCGTGTGAAGGTGAGAAAGAATTCTTTTCACTAAATAGTCCCTTTAATTTCCCAAGTGTTATTATTCCATTAACTTCTCCTTTTATATTTAGTCTTGTTCTTTAACTTTACAGAGTTAGTTTCTTATAGGCATCTTATAGGCATCAATAAGTCTGTTATTATAAGAACAGCAATGGGGATTGTAACTTCTGGAAGATGTTTACGACTCCTAGAGAGGGCTACAGAGATATGAAGGTGGCATTTAGATAGCTCTTCTCCCCCCACAAACCTCCAGCTTAACCCTAGAACGTGCCTATTTGCAAGAGTAAGGAGTACTTTTTAATAACCAGTCTGATTCTTTCAGACTAAAATTAAGGTACAAATATCCTTGGTTTATATTTTAATTTAATTTAATTAATTTTTTATTGAGGTATAATTGAAGTATAGCATTATATTAGTTTCAGGTGTACAACATAATCATTTGATATTTGTATGTAATGCAAAATGATCACAAGTCTAGTTAACATAGTCTATTATGTTAGTCTTGTTAACATAGTCACACAATAAGTCTAGGTATATATATTTTTAAAAAGTGCCTTTCACTTACCAGCTCTCCACACTTCCTGAGTCTACTTCTCTGTCAATTTAAATGCTTCTAGAGAAATCTGTCACTGATTGTCACTGTTCAAAAAGATCAATTCTGCAGTAGCTGTTTAAATGATAGGTTATTTCCTTTTAAGATTTCTTGCTGTGAGCCATTTGTTGTTTTGGAGGATGTCTGGAAATAGGTGTAGACTAGAAGAAAAATTTCCTGAACACCAAGAAGATCTTCTTTTATGTATAGTTCAGAAAGTCTTTTCGCTGTACATCATCTCACCTGATACCCCAATGGTAAATTACAGTTTCGTCTTGGAGTGATTTTCCTACCTGTAATTGGAAGGGACAGTGTGTAATATTGGTCTCTAGAAGGTGTTCTTATGATGTATAAAGTGCTACTAGGAAGAAGTTAGAGGTCTGTTTTAATATTCCAACCAAGTTTTTTTCTTTCCTTTTCTTTTCTTTTTCTTTCCTTTTCAGAATGGATAGACCTATATTGTTTTTGCTAATTATTAAAAGTATAAAATATTTTTAAAATACAGAATTATATAATGTAGAAAGTGAAAGGTCCCATCCCTTACTCTTCTTTATAATTCTGCTCCCAACAATTGCTAGTGTTTAGTATTTGTATATCCTTCTAGACTTTTGCATGCCAATATATATCTTTTTTCATAATTGGTATTGTATTACATATATTTCTTTGCTTGCTATCTTGATCTACCTCAACCTTTTAAATTTTGCTACCTGTTATTCCGTTGCATGATGTACTATGTCATAAATTGATTGTATTTTTGATGTTTTTCAATACTATAACAAATATGAATTTTCTAATACTTGTACCTTTGGCTGCTTTTCTGATTATTTCCTTAGAGTAACTGGCTAAAATTAGATTTGCTTTTAAAGGATGTACACCTGTCAGATCTTGACATATGTTGCCTCTTAAAAGAGATCCTTTTTTGCTCTAGATCCAATACAGGACATATTTAGTCTTTGCCAAACTGCTAAATAAAAAGTATCTGATTATTTTAGTTTGCATTTTTTAAGAATACCACAGTTAGGCATATTTTAATATTGACCATTCATAGTTACTTTTTGTGTGTATGTGAATTGCCTTATATGTCTCCTAATTATTCTCATTTTATTACTGATTTATAAGAGCATTTTATATATTAAGGGTAGCAAAACTTTGTCATATGTTGCAAATAGTTTTACCCAGTTTCCTAGTTTTCTTTTAATGCTATTCATGATATATTTGTGTAGAAATTTTAAGTTTTTATATACTAAAATCAGGCAGTATTTTCTTTTAAGATTTCTTCATTTCTTCAAACTTAGAAGTATTTTACCTGCTTCAAGACCATATATTTTATTTTATCTTTATTTCCACTTATTATATTTATAGTTTTTACATTTATATCTTTAATCTCTTTTGAATATTTTTGCAAATGGGAAGGTAGGTCTCTAACTTCATTTTTTCAAATGGTTAATCAATTGCCCCAATATTATTTATTGAATAATACATCTTGTTACAACTGTTTAAAATACCATTATTATTATCTATTAAATTCCCAGATATATATAGGTCTGTTTCCCACTTTTTGTTTTGTTTCATTGATCTATTTGACTGTTTCTACTCATGTGGGATCCTACATTATTTTATCAACTGTAGCTTTATCTGGTAGGGAGGATATCCTCCTACACAGAGTAGATGGCTGCAGCATTCATCCTAAACTCTTTTGGTACAAATAGCCAGCTCAGTGAAGTATGAAACGTGACCCACTGCGAGCTTCCATTTTACCCTCTTCCGTCTGTTGTTGGTGGGATTTGCTCTGAGCTGGATGGCTTTCTGGGATTCTGATGGAAGAAATCCATATAGTTACTTCTGAAGGAGTCCCTCCTTTTCCTATGTTGAGTAACAAGCTGTTTACCAATGTTTGGTTTCCCTGTGATCCATTTCCATCTTTTATTTCATTTATTTATTTATTTTTTAATATTTGTAAGTCAGTCTTTTTATTTATTTATTTATATTTTTATTTTTATTTTTCCCCCAAAGCCCCAGCAGACAGTTGTATGTCATAGCTGCACGTTCTTCTAGTCGCTGTATGTGGGACGCAGCCTCAGCATGGCTTGAGAAGCGGCGCGTTGGTGCACGCCGGGATCCGAACCCGGTCCGCCAGTAACGGAGTGGGCGCACTTAACTGCTAAGCCACGGGCCGGCCCTTCATCTTTTAATCTATACTGAATCTATTTCCTTTTTTCCCGTTGCTGCTTCAGATTTTTTTTTTTTTAAACTAATCATTTCTTTGGATTCTTTTTAGGAACTGGAAAGGGAAGAAAAGTTAAAGTATGGGCTCAATTTGCCATCTTGAAAACGGATACTCTGACTTTCCTTGAATTATATACTGGCATTATGAGTTTTAAAAAATGACCTGAAATGAAATTAAAAAAGTATTCTTTCTAGTGGGGTTTAAATCTATATAGTTTTCTATACATAGCCTTTGCATTCATTCTCTTGAAACAAAGAAATATCAAGTATTATTTTATTCAGTATAGTATATGTGTTTCTTTCTAGTTAATAACTTAAAAACTTTGACGCATAAAAGTGGTAGTTAGGAAGTTATGATTTACAAAATGATTTTTAATGGCATTTTGCTGTGTCTATAAAATCCTTGGGTTGTTGTCAAAGCAGAGCAATAAAACTGTTGCAAATGATTTATGATTATATTTCATTCTAGGCACGCCTTCTCCTGAGATTCAACTTGGGTTCAAACTCCAAGAGGATCCACAAGCGCAAATGAGTGAAAATAAGACGATGCCTGTTCTTAGTGAGGATGCAGTCTTACGGGTGTGTAGCATATTAATTAAATACCTACTGAATAAAAATTGGAAGTGCTGTTTCAAAGAGTGGCAAATCACTAACGATTAATTCTTTTTGTCTGTTATTTTGCTTCTTCTTTCTTATTCAGTTTTTTCTCCTTTCTTAGCCAGTCATTCTGTTTCTTTGCTGCAACTTTAGTGAAAGCCGGTTGTTTAGAAGGGGCAGAGGTTAAAATATTTCCTTTCTTCCCTTCTTTCCTTCATTTTTCTCTCTTTTTGGCGGTGATGTGGAAGTGAGAGAAACAAAAGGTTAAAATAGGATATAATAATTACGATTTTCATCTCCATTGATATGTCAGAGGTCATCTTAAATTTGTGAAGAAGATACTAGTCTGTGTGGTATAATTTGAGATATGAAAAGGCCCCTCTGAAAGGCCTTTCTGTTGTCCTATGTATATGTGCGTGTGTGTGTGTACACAGATTTTTATTTGTTTTTAAATGCAATCAGCCTGGGGAAAGATGAGGAATGATTTGGTTAGCACCTTGGCATAAATAAGTTAGCTAACCAGAGACACTTACAAAGTCTTAAGGAATGGAAGGGAAAATCCTTACTTTTTTTTTTTTTTTGTGAGGAAGATCAGCCCTGAGCTAACATCCATGCCCATCTTCCTCTCCTTTATATGGGACGCTGCCACAGCATGGCCTGACAAGCGGTGCATTGGTGCACACCCGGGATCTGAACCCGGGTCGCCAGCAGCGGGGCGTGTGCGCTCTTAACCGCTACACCACGGGGCTGGCCCCTGAAACATTGCTTTGTTTTGTTTTGCTTGTTCTTTCTTGTGAGGAAGATTAGCCCTGAGCTAACATCCATGCCCATCTTCCTCTACTTTATATGGGACGCCACCACAGCATGGCTTGACAAGCAGGGACGTCAGTCTGCACTGGGGATCCGAACTTGTGAACCCTGGGCCGCCAAAGCAGAGCGCGCGCACTTAACCACTATGCCACGGGGCCAGCCCTGAAAATCCGTACATTTTAATAGCAGAAACTGACAGCAGTTCCAAAGAGTGAGTGGGAGGATCTATTTAATATTGTACCTAGGAACGTGTGTCACTTGACTTGTCTGATCAAAAGAGAAAAATTCAACATCAAGTATTTGTTCTTGCATCTGAGATGTCTATAATTAGCTTCTAATAATTTGGTGAAAAATAAGTTTTGCACTGAGTTAAGAAAAAAGAGCATTTTTCCCCTTTAGCTTCAGTAACTGAAATGGGAAATAGTTTTTTTCAGTTTATTTCAGAAGCATTTGCTATGTGACTGTTGTACCAGGCTCTAGATTGTACCTCAGAACAGTGATTTTGAAAGCTTGATTATCAGACTCATTTGAGTAGCTTTTTAAAAATATAGACTCCCAGACCCGTACTTGGGTGGAACCTAGGAATCTCCGTTTTTCAAAAGCCTCCCAAGTAATTTCTGATGATCAGCTAGCTTGAAACAATTGCCTTAGAGGACTTGAATAGTTAATGAATGTATCTTTCAAAGATTTATCATCAGATAGTAAATCAGCCATCTGCTGCTTATGGGCTTGTAAAATTAGGATAAGAAAAACAAATGAAGGGCTTGATATTTGTCCCTCTTTTTTCTCCTTCATTGAAATTCATTGGTAGTAAAATAGATACCTTCTTTAACTTTCTCCTGCCCTTCCTTTTTGTTAGATCATATAACCAAAGTGTTTAAACATCTGTAGCAAATTTCAGTTAATATTATTTTAAAAATTGACACGTATTGCTACTTTCACAGTTTTTCCTTTAATTCTATGAAAATAAGCCTTTAGAAATTTAACTATATGAGGGAAATTGATTTTATCAAATAAAGAAATGGAGAGACCACAAAGAGTGCTTTCCCAGAGTTATTTAAAGAAAAAATATATTGTTTTATAACTTGAATTTGATTTCTAAATAAATTTTAAATAATTACTAAACAGATTTTTAAATAAATTCTTCCTTAATACTCAGATACAGTATTGATATTTCAACTTCAAAACAGACTATTTTAGAAATGATGGGCTACTTTAAATAAGAACAAACTGTAAAGAAATAGAGGATCTTTGGTTTGACATACACCATGCTAATTTTTAAAAATACAGATAGCAGTCTTTTAAAATATTTCATACTCATCATTTTTATTGGGTCTTGCAATACCTTTCCTTGTTCTTTACAGGTGCTATATGGGAAGCAGTTTTTCAACTTTCCTTAGAAAAACTTTGATCTTGTTTGGAGAGTTTAGTAATATCTGAAGAGATCATTGGAGACAGTGGTGTCTATCAAAATCAGGAGATGTGATGGCTAGGCCAGGTAGTTGGTCAGACATTTTTCTGGGAGTGTCTGTGAGGATGTTTTTGAATGAGATTAGCATTAAATCAGTGGATTTGAGTAAAGCAGATTGCACTCCATAGTGTGGTTGGACCTCATCCAACTCGTTGAAGGCCTGAATAGAACAGAATACCAGCCTCCCTGAGCAAGAGAGAATTCTCCAGCAGACAGCCTTCAGACTTCATCTGCACCATCTGCTTTCCTGGGTCTTGAGCATGATGGCCCACACTGCAGATTTGGACTTGCCAGTTTCCATAATCACATTAGCCAGTTCCTTGTAATAAATCTCTTTCTGTGTATGTACATATCCTATTGGTTCTGTTTCTCTGGAGAACCCTGACTAATACAGAGGGTATCACTGGTCTTACCATAATAAGTTTTTGATCATCTGGAGAATCCTTATTTGACAGGGAATAATAATTATTCAATCTTGTGGTTATTACCAGCAGGCTGCTTCTTCCACTTCCTGCTCTCTGAAGCGTGGGACTTTTTATCTCAAAGTTATACATCCAGGTTGAATCTCACTTCTCCATTTTGTAGCTTCCACCTTTTACCCTTATTCGTATGTAGTGATGAAATTAGTTAAAATGAACATTAAACAGAACCTTGAAAGGGAAATGAACAACCGGAGGCTTGTTTGATGGCTGTGTAACGCAAGAAGGATTGTGGTTGGCAAGACTAGAGCTTGTGGAGAGATTTTGTATACGGTCATGCATCACTTAATGACAGGGATCCTGTCTGAGAAATGCGTGGTTAGGCGATTTTGTCATTGCGCAAACATCACAGAGTGTACTTACATAAACCTAGATGGTACAGCCTGCTACACACCTAGGTTATATGGTACTAATCTTATGGGACCACCGTTGTATACGTGGTGTGTAGTGGACCAAAACTCATGCAGCACATGACTGTATAAATACTAAAGGGTCTTTATAAGCCCGAGGAGGCAGGTAACATTCTCTCTCACTAGCTACCTCTGTGAGGCATAAGTAGGTGGATTTTCAAAACTTAGGGAACCACTTGACTCTGTGGGGGATCAGAATTGTCTACCTCAAAATATGTCTCTTTACCTTGACTGTTTTTAAGAACAAAAGACTCTGAAAGATGGGGCCGGCCTGGTGGCGTAGTGGTTAAGTGCACGTGCTCCGCTTCGGCAGCCTGGGGTTCGCAGGTTCGGATCCTGGGCATGCACCGACGCAGCACTTGTCAAGCCATGCTGTGGCGGCGTCCCATATAAAATAGAGGAAGATGGGCACAGATGTTAGCCCAGGGCCAGTCTTCCTCAGCAAAAAGAGGAGGATTGGCATCAGATGTTAGGTCAGGGCTAATCTTCCTCACACACAAAAAAAGACTCTGAAATTTGAAACTTTGACCTCCCTCCCACTAACTGCCTAAAAGAAATTTAAGATAGAAGGCCTGTCCTCAGGACAGGCCATCACTATAGATAAGTCTGGGTATCGATAGAATGGGAGGGTCCTTGCCAAGCCCATTCTTATCAAAGTTCTATTGACCAAACATTTGCTTTTCCACCTCCATGTGAATTGCCTTCCTCCCCTTTGAAGTCCCAAACCACTACCCCCAACAACTTCCTTTGTCTTTAGCTGAAGATGCTATTTGAGATGAGAGCCTCTGCCGTTTTGGCAAGTTACTCAGATTTCTTGGGTCTCTCCGAGGTGTATATGTTATAAAACTTTGTTTGATTTTCTCCTGTTATTCTGTCTCACGTCATTTTAATTCCTAGCCCAGGCAGAAGGACGCAGAGTGGGTAGAGGATGTGTCTTCCTCCCCTACAGCTCTCCTGTGCTGGTCTCGAATGCCGTTGATGTGCCTGTCCTGACTCTTGAACTCATCTTGGCCTGCTTCAGTTCTTAGGCTCCTGGAATTGCTGTCTCTGCCGAGAGTTGCCACTGCTTAGGAGTGTTTTGGGAAGGAGTGGGATGAAAACAGGGCTTTAGTGCCTGACTCAGCCAGAGTAAAAACAGTTCTCATTCAGTGGTTAAGTCATTTTGTGTTTAAGTTGTATTTAGATACTCGTGAGAAGAATTTAAAATGATCATTTCAACATTTAAGAACAGTGAAGCAATGTAGAGATGATATCATACATCCAGATGAAACTCTCTAAAAGGCAATCATATAGATATTTGGAAATATTAAAAAATATTTATGTAGGTAACCAAATTTGGGTACCTCAGTCTGAGAGAAAGGTATTTTAAACAAATGTTTTCAGTAACTCATCAAGACAATTAATACCAGGAATGTGTATTCTGCTCTACTGAATGGGAGGATAGTTTGTGTGAGACAACTGATGCCTTGTGGAGAGCCCGAGTTGGTCAGGCTGATCTGGCTGGCCAGGCTTCTTCCATTCCACTCCCAGTAATCTGTGATTCGGTCAAGAGAATGATCTCAGATAGTACAGGATTGTTTTTGGGTTAAGGATGTGTAAATAGATTTGCTTCTTTTCCTGATCCTCCAATGAACACAATTAATTTAAACTCTCACCTCTCACACCGTACCCTCAACAGATAAAACAAAACTCTAGTATTTAGTGGCCTGGTCAAAATACAAGAGTGTAGGGTTAGGAGCAAAATGGAAGTCACATATATCAAAAGGATAGATAGCAATTTAGATCCGTTAAGAAAGAATTGATTGAAGTGTATCCTTGCATTTTGTTAATTAAGGAATGAACAACTACGGCCTGTATTATATTCAGAGGCATTTGCTCCTGAGTGGTATTTCTGCCTATGGAGGAGGAAAAAAATCAGCTCTTAGGAGCAGACTTCCTTCTTACTTGCTCTCTTATTTTTTGCATTTTCTTTATGTTGTTAGGGTCAAGTGAATAATTGGCCCTCAACAGGAAAAGTCACTGGTCCTATAGTAAGATAAATTAAGTGGCTATTACAGATTTGAATAAATTGCTTTGTGGAGACTCAGAAATATCTAGTAAGTGTATATGTAGACTCTGTTTAATTCTTGGAAGTTTCTAGGTTTACTTCTTGAAATTCTTTCTTCTCTCTGGGCCTCGGAGCTTTGTAACCTCTGCTTGGGAAGTATATCTATGTGGAACAATGTGACAACCTTGAGGTATGTAAGGATGCATTATCAGTAAATAACAATGAACATTAATTGGAGAAGATTGAAGTTCTCACAGTATTTAATTGTGTTTTCTTGTTGTTATGGCTGTTTCAGTGATCAAAAAATGCTTGGAAGTTCAGGCTAATGGCTTTATGTTCAGAAAGCTATATTGTTGATCGTAGAAGCAAACACAGAGGGTCCCTAAAGAGAGATCTTTTTCTTCAGATCTTTTTTGATGCTAGCAAGATATTTAAGGCAAGGATTCCTTTTAAAGTGATGAAAGCCAGTATGCTTTGAAGTCTTGAAATGGAAGCATTTTATCAGTGCATTTTATCTTTTTTGAAAGGGACACAACAACTTCAGATTTTCTCGCATGATTCGAGAATTAGGCAGAATCCATTTAGCATTTAACACTGTAACACAAAGGGTGTATAATTTCTGGCCTTTAGGGGAAATGTTAGAACTGAGAACCTGATAAGAATGGCTCATCAGAACCATTATGGATTAATGAACTAGGAGAAGGGAAAAACTAGGAATAAAAAGAAGGAACGCTCTGTTTCTATTTACTTAAGTTCCACAAATTCTTTTATAGAAAAAAGTTAGGACAAGAAACTAAACGTAAGAGCCAAAACTGTAAAACTATTAGAAGATGACGTAGGAGAAAAGTACTATGGCTGAATTTGGCAGTGATTTCTTGGATATGAAAGCACAGGCAACAAAAGAAAAAAATAGGTAAGCTAGACTTCATTAATATCAAATACCTTTGTGCATCAAAGGACACTATCAACAGAGTGACAAGGCAACCCAAGGAATGGGAGAAAATATTTGTAAATCATATAGCTGATGAGGGATTTATACCCAGAATATATAACTTACAACTAACAACAAAAAACAAACAACCTGATTAAAAAATGGGCAAAGGACATGAATTGACATTTCACCAATGAAGATATACAAATGGCCAATAAGCACATGAAAAGATGTTCAGCATCATTAATGATTGGGGAGATGTACATCAAAACCACAATGAGTTACCACCTCACACTCATTAGTATGACTGTTATCAAAAAACAAAATAACAAGTGTGGGTGAGGATGTAGAAAAATTGGAATTCTTGCTCATTGCTGGTGGGAAATGTAGAATGGTGCAGCCACTGTGGAAAATCGTATGGTGATTCCTCAAAAAATTAAACATAGTATTACCATATGATCCAGAAACTCCACTTCTGAGTATATGCCAAAAATAGGTGAAAGCTAGGACTTGAAAATATTTTTGTACATCTACATTCATAGAAGCATTCACAATAGCCAAAAGGTGGAAGCAACCCATGTGTCCACCGAGAGATGAGTGGATAACCCAAATATACATACATGCAATGGAATATTATTTAGCCTTAAAAAGGAAAGAAATACTGATATATTCTATAACATAGATGAACCTTGAAGACCTTATACTAAGTGAAATAAGCCAGTCATAAAAGGACAAATATTCTATGATTCTTTTTATATGACGTACTGAGGGTAGTCAAATTCTTAGAGACAGAAAGTAAAAGAGTGGATACTGGGGGCTGGGCGAGGGGTGAATGGAGACTTAGTGTTTAATGGGTATGGAATTTCACCTGGGGGAGATGAAAAAGTTCTGCAGATGGATGATGATGATGGTTGCACATCAATGTGAATGTACATAATGCCACAGAACTATACATTTAAAAATGGTTAAAATGGTAAATTTAATGTTATATAAATTTTACCACAATAAAAAAAGACACTAAGAAAGAATAACATAAGAATAATCTTAAGTGTTGCTTATCTTGTTGTATTGGATTAGTATTCATCAGTTGGAAAAAACGGCTGTTTTTCTTCCTAGCAACCTCAAGATGAAATGGAACAAAATCAAACTCTGTTACAGTAAGTATACTAGTTTTTGGCTTGTTATATTGTAGGTACCTTTTGTCATTTTGCACATCTAAAATCAGTCTTCATTTTCTTAAAAGTTTTGGAATTATTGTGTATTTTTGAATAATTACCTCTTTAAGAAGCATAAATGTATGTTATTTTACAAACATTCTAGATAAGTTTCATTTCATAAGAAAGATTGAATTAGATTGTCTATTCTCTGTCTATTACTATTATTAAAAAGGCAGATTTATAGCATAGCATGAAGGAAGAATTTGTAGAGCTGTTGAAATTAGACTTTGTGCAGCTGTTATACTTTAAAGACTTGATTCTTTCAGTTCTTTTACAATACTGTCTTTCAAAGTATGGTCTCTAGACCCCCTGGGAGTCCCCAAGACTCTTTCAGAGGGTCTGTGAGGTCAAAACTATTTTCAGAATACTACTAACAAATTATTTGCCTTTGTCACTGTATTGACATTTGCACTTATAGTGCTAAAGCAAATGGTGGGTAAAATGCTGGAGCCTTAGTAGGAATCAGGGCAGTGGCACCAAATAGTGCTAGGAGTCACTGTGTTTTTCACTGCCATGTCCTAGCAGGTAAAAAAGAAAAAAAAAAACCTGTTTCACTTAATGCATTTGATGAAGCAGAAAAGTTATTAGTTTTATTAAATCTCTACCCTTGAATGTGTATCTTTTTGCTGTTCTGTGTGATGAAGTGGGAAGTCTTGAAGTACTTCCGTGCGTGCTCGAGTGTGATAGTTGTCTCAAGGAGAGCGCCTGTGCACTTGATTGAGTTGTAAGCATTGTGAGAAAACTAGCTTCACTTTTTTTTTTTGAACTTGAAAGAATAACTGACAGACAAACTGGTTATTCACCCTTGGATATATGGCAGACATTTTCTTGAAAGTGAATGAAGTAAGCCAGTTACTTCAAGGATAACAGCTAATGGTATTTGTTGCTAATGAAACTGTTCAAGCTTACATGTGAAAATTAGAGTTTTGAAAGACTTGTGTTTACCATCTTGACCTTGCTGGTTTTCTAATACTTAAAATTTTCTGGTGAAATCAGTAGTAATATTTACAAAGGTGATTTTTTTGGCTATTTTATAATGAAATGTATCAATATAAGGAAGATCTGCACAACTAAGTGAAACCGTATTTTCTAAAAGACTGATGCATGATGTCACAGTATCACGCACAGGTAAGAGATCCATTCAAAGTGCGAGATAGGCCATTGGCTTATAATGTAACAGGATACAAAAAGTTCCTTGATTTTGTTTCAATTTCTACATTTCCAGGAACTTTTAAGGAAGTTACTGCTTTTAGAGTTTTGGTTAGACATCAGGAAAGAATATCCACAATTACCTAAAAAGGCTGCTAAAATACCCTTCCTTTTTCTGACGGCATATCTGCATGAGGCCAGATTTTTGTCATATACTTCAAGTAAAACAATGCATGGCAAAAGATTGAATGCGGTAGCAGATATGAGGTGGCAACCGTCTTCTGTTAAGCCATACATTAAAGAAATTTTTGAAAATATGAAACAATGCCACTTTTCTCACTAATTTTTTTTTCCATTTTGGAAAATATAATAACTTTTCATCAAAATATGTTAACATGTTACTGGATTATTACTGTTATTTT